GTGCTTTAAGTAAAAAATAAATTACATTCATCCCGCACACTGTATGAAATGCCTGAGTGTATGCATGCAACTCACAAGTAAAGCATGTGCTCAATTTTTTGAAGAACATTAAAATAACAGCAAATATTATAAAGACTCTAGAGCTTGCTTTCCATAAAATTGCTACACAATCACTGCACCAATCACTACACTATGTACTGTAGCTCTCCTTGATGCAAGTGTGTGTAACACGCCATTTTACACATGGCCCTGTTCAGGCAATTATAAAATGTTAGGCTCCCAGAAATAAAAATTATTATTAGACACTTTCATATTGACCAAAATCATTCCCTATGACTATTAGATCATAAAATGTAACATTTTAATAAAAGACTTTTTTTATTACACTATAAAGGCCTCCAATCTAACATCACCAATATTGTTTTTGTGCCGCATGTGAGTCATACAGTTTTACTTATCATTATGATGTGAAAACAAGTATGTCTACGTCTTCACAGAGTCTATCAGCATTACATCATACTGCAAGGGATTCTAATCCTATTTAAGTATACTAAAAGTATACCAACGTTAGACTCATAACTTCCTTAATAGCTGAATAAATCTAGTCCCATGTGATCATGAGTTATAGACCTACCATACTATGACCTAAGATGGCTCCCATAATCAGACCAGGTATACACAGAAGGAATTTTTCTAGTCAGTAATTCTTTAGTCCATGAGCACTACTTCTGAGCACTCATTAAATAATACTTCTGAGCATAAGTACTTAATTAAAGGAGTCCAATATGTTTACATTTTCTATAGGGATAATGTCAACTCAGCCTAAACTAACATGTGGGACTATAACTTACTGTAATCAACAATTATATAGAAGAGATTCAGGACACTATATAGATCCCAGTGCTATTATTGTCTTTACAGCTACCTGCAACTCTATTATACTAATTAAATTTCCAAGAAATGAATTACACAGTTCTATGTACTGTATTTCATAAAATAAGTAAATATGTGTGGTTTTTTTTTTAAATGTCTTCAGTAGACTAATTGCAAATGAGAATTTGATTCATGGTTGCAGGCTATATCGTATAGTACTTTAGGAATGCTACCTTTAAACTAAAATCACAAGAGATTTAAAGGAATATAATATAGCAAAGTATAATTTAGCAATGTAATCTATTTCCTTGAAAGACAGAGGGAAATATTCTCACCTACTGCACAGTATAATTTATGGTTCACAATACGTCATAAGTTAATATTTACAATAAAGGTATAAGGGATGAACCCTGGCACGCTGGTTCCATGAACACATCTGTATTCAGTGCTTTAAAATTTCATTATGCAAATTCATGTTGCATTTCATCAGCATATACATCAGCTGCATTTGGAATAAATGTTCTTACCAGGAAAATACCTTTGTAATGCATGTAAATTTAAATTGGCTAAGGCCTCCAAAAAACATTTCTACACTCTTTAAATCGCATTATTATTTTGTTCGATGATTAGGGTCTAATTTCAGTTTCAATATAAATTCAATGTAGTTTCAATTTCAATGCCCTTAAGCTTTTTCATATTGGACAAATCAAATTGAGTCTGAATCTGAATTATGAAATAGAACCAATTTTGTATAGTACAATGACATTTAATTCACAAAATTTGGATGTTAATTGTTTGCAGTTGAAAATTAATGTTCATATTATTTCTTAACTTCAAACACTGAAATCACTCTTTCATTTAAATGCTAATAAAAAAGTAAATTTAAATTATCAAATATGGTTCATTTATGTGATATTTTCAACTAAATATTCATATTGTATCCTATATACAAGCAATTCACTAAAAGATCAGTTTAACAAAATGCAAGAAACAATTTTTAATTAGTCTAGTTGGTGAGTAGTTAGATGCTTTGACTGGTGAGTGGGGCCACTAAAGAATAGGCAGTGCATTACTTTATTTGAGGTATAATACTTCATTGCAATTCCCCAATTCAACAGCCTACACCATATAATTCAATATGATTTGAAAATACGAGTCTTAAGAAACTCTTAAAATGCCAGGGAAAGAATATTCTTGAGTAGAAACAAGTAGGTCATCTAATATCTTTGGAGCAAAAACAGCAAAACCTCTCTCACCGTAGTTTTATGATGACAGAGGACAAACAAAATGGATGAGCTAGTTGTAGACAAGTGGTAAAGCAAAGTTTAATCAGATCAGAAACATACAATATATCAGTGATTTATGTAAGGATTTGTAAGTAAAATGCATCAGTTAAATCATTTAGCAGAAAGACAGACTCTGCATGGTCATAGGCAATAATGAATTCATAAGGATTCTGTGATGGATTCATATTCACTTTCACATTCAATGTTTTCTTAGTCTTATGAGCTTGATCCTTCATGTGATCTGTTCATATGATTATTTCCCTTGAATATTGACATGCCTTTACTTGGCCCCATCACATGACTATTATGAGGTCCCTTCAAAAATTGTACTATACAATATGTGGGAATATTACACATCTAACCCTGGCACACTGGTTCCATGAACACATCTGTATTCAGTGCTTTAAAATTCATTATGCAAATTCATGTTGCATTTCATCAGCATATACATCAGCTGCATTTGGAATAAATGTTCTTACCAGGAAAATACCTTTGTAATGCATGTAAATTTAAAAGACTTATTTCGGCAAAACTCACCAACACGCCAGTTAGTTTACCCATCCAGTGCGAACAGAATTAGAAACTTACCTCTCAGATAACTTACCAGAGCAGCACGGTTAGTTTAGCCGACTCTGGTTTGCCCTGGAAAACTAACCGAGCTAGTTTTACTAAGATGAAAAGTCCAGTGCAAATAGCGCCAGTCGGTTAGACTTTCTGAGTCACTGAAGCACATGACCTTTACCGCTTGGTGGGCTTTCACGACTCGGTTAGTATTACCAATACATATGGTAAAACTAACCGCATCAATCCAAGTGCGAACAACAGTAAGATTTAATCATTGGAATCTTACCCACAGGCTCAATAAAATCTTCCCTTTTTTTATTCCATTGTGACTGCGGCTATACAGTATGGTGTAATTATGTAAGATTGTCTACAAAACCAGTGGTGGCGACAGTGGGGGCACCCCATTGGACAAGCCAAGCCCCCCCCCCATCGGCCAAGTTCGTCGGGCAGTCGGACCAAAAACAATTTAAAATAGTCAAAACATTTCTTTCACAGTTGTTGAGTGCCACTTCTGGCCATCCAGAGGTCCCTATTTTTAAAATCTCATTTGGGAGGGGACACCCCTCCCAAACCCTACTGCTCCTCAGGGATACAAGCTTAAGCCCCCCTATTGGACAGCTTAGTCCCGTACGAAAATGCCACCACTGTACTAAACATAAATACAGTATATCATAGTCCTACAATATGCTATTCATCGATGGATATATCACAACATGTCATTTATTTATTAACAGTCGATTAATAACAATTAACATGGCAAGTTTTTCATTAAAAGCTTTATGATTTACACAACAAATTATTTGAAACTCCTTTGAAGAAGGCATCAAAGCTTCCATAGAAAACTCAGGTATTTGTGATGTTGCTTGGAAGCAAATTTATACTGTAGTTTTCCATGGAGCTCAGGAAGAACCTTTCAAAAGGCTTGACATTCAAAGACATGGTTTTAAATTGGCACATACAGTAATAATGTACAATAGAATTATATAAAATATATTTTAACATACATAGGCCCATAGTAGCATCTACATCAATTAATCATACTATTTAATAAATAATAGTACACTGGCATTTTAAATAGGCTTGGAACTTAATACAAGCTGGCCCTAAATTCGTCGTTCACATCACGAACTAACACAATCAAAGTAGATTGTGTTAGTTCGTGAAATCACAGTAGCGCGTCAAAACGAGCGCCTATTGGTTGTCAAGCAATTTTGCATTCTTTACCACACAAAAAGTCCTTAACAACAGCGCGTATTTTGACGTGCTTTCTTGATTTCACGAACTAACACAATCTAATTTGATTGTGTTAGTTCGTGATGTGAGCGACAAATTAATCCACCAATATCCCATGTCTGCTGTGGGATTAATCAATACATTAATTTTGAATAATTGTATTGTTTAATATTCATATCTAATCATTTTCCATATCTAGTATTGATTTTTCATGTGTTTGTAAAATTGGATTTTGCTGATCGATTGTCACTAACAAGATTCTCAGCAGCAAAAAACAATTAAATCTGTACCTAAATATCTCAATCTGAATGCATCTTCAACACCGAGAATTGAATAATCTAGGTTTCGGGGCTCATATTTAATTATTAAATAACATGTGAATACCAGGTAATCGTTACTATGGCTTGTACCAATGGTTACTCTAGGTGGGACATATTGATTAGTAGACAGACTAGGATGATATAATGCTTTAGAAAGCTGTAGAACATGTCTGTGTTGTGCACAATGCTGTCACATAGTCAAAACAATGAGGATTTCACTGAAACACCGTTCAAGTGACTGAAGCATTGAAATAGGATTGGCCTTGACTAGGAATCCGACCCCTGAAACTTGTCTATGAAAAAAATTATAATATAGTGTAATATGCTCTCTGAAAGGATATATAAATGACACACTCATTTAACTCTCATTTTTAAAATGGACTGAAATATTTTTGCTTGGGATTAAAATAATAAAATACTACCAAATTTTAGCCAGAAATTTTAAGAATTAAAAAAAAAATAAATTTAATGGCCATCTCAAAATCACCCACCAAAAACATACTACACTGATAAAAACACCAATGCCTATTTTCTCTATGAATAGCTACAGTATAGCTACAGTATTAAAACTTAAGAAAAATCAGGAATACGCAACAATGTGTCTGGCTAAGCGTGAAAATCCATCATATTTTATCTTACAACGAATACATTTTTAAAACACTGAAACCACTGAAAAATTAAATAAATGATAAGAATATATTTTCAAAATTAGAACGTGACTTACATCAATATTTCCATTTTCTTCAATAGTCGGCGGGGGCGACGTTGGACTAGATGCCTCACGACTCAGTGCTGCAACAACAAGTAAGGGAAGATGAGTTAAAATCATTCATTCGATAAAGCTAATAGCAATTAATCTCAAACAAGTGTCTTCGTCTAGAGAGCAGCCAATTTCTGTGATCAACATTAAAACTGCATGAATAAGTAATAACTGCAGCTAATTACAATACCATGGTGATATGGCAAGGGAAATGTGTTTAATAAAGTTGATGATAGCAACTATAAATCATGTTAACATATTTGGTGTGCCACATTTACTTAGAAGAAGCATAATAAGATAAATATAACTATTTTATTTTTATCTTGCTATATATTTTATTCTGTTTATTTTATTCTATCCACATCATTTAATTTGTACTTATTTATACAACTGCAATGAAAAATTAAATATTAATAATATAAAAATCACAATGAAGTACATTTTAATTAAATGTACTGTTACTACCCTATATGGACCATGTACTACCAAGCTAACAATTTATCAGAACATTACTGGTTAGCATTAAAATTAGGGGTTTTTTTTCGTTAAACCAAAAGTAAGTAGGCCATTAACATAATTTCTGACTTACGTGGACAGGATTAAATCCTGTAGCACTAAAATAAATTTACAAACTACTAAACAAACAATAATTTATTTTTTGATAAACTTTACATCAAAACTAGTTTAATTATTTACATAATAAACCAGTTCAAGCTTCCAGATTCTAATCCATGCCAATTACCCATGCCTTTGGGATCCCCAAATGTCTGGAAACTAATTTGCTTAATGGTTAAATTAAATATTAATTGGCATTTTGTAATCACAGTCCATTTACAGTATTACCAAGGATAAGAATCTAATGAGATGTAAAACAAAACTCACATTTATTACAATTACAATAAGCAATGTAGTATTTATCCAATGCTTAAGTGATATTCAGTATGCAAACTATATAAAAATGTGTAGGACTATCAATCAACAGGGCAACATAACTTGATGCTACATCTCTCCTAATCACAAGATAAACAACTCCATCACAAGGCAATATCACATCTACATGATCACATCAAACCACATGATAAATAGCTCAAACATGAGACTATATCATGCCAAATCGCATACTGAACAGCTCCAACATGAGGCTTTGTCACTCCTAATAGCAGAATGTTAGCTTCATTATGAGGCCTTACCACATTATGAACAGCTTCAACATTACACCACATACCATACCCATGATATGAGACTATGTCACACCCAATCACATTCACAGGATGAATAGCTAAAACATGAAAATACTGTATATCATACCCAATCACATGACATGAAATTATATATCATACCCAATCACATGACATGAAATTATATATCATATCCAATCACATGACATGAGATTATATATAATAATAATATCCAATCACATGACATAAGATTTATATATCATACCCAATCACATGACACAAGACTATATATCATACCCAATCATATTACATGAGATTATATATTAAACCCAATCACATGACATGAGATTATATATCATACCCAATCACATGACATGGGATTATATATCATATCACATGACGAGATTATATATCATACCCAATCACATGACTTGAGACTACCCAATCATAAGTTAAACGGTTCAGATTGTTTAGATTGTCAATAGGTACTAAACTCACTCAAATTGATTAAAACATAGTATAAGATTGTTACTATATCTATTTTATAGGTTTCCTTAATCAAATCTAAATTATATGATGACTGTATGTAGGTCCAAGTTGAAACTCTAAAGTTAAAAAACCAAGATTAGCCTGACAGAGAATGGCAATTCATTAATACCTATGGTTAGAAGATAAAGTACAAACTGTATATTTATAAATATACCTTTCTCTTTCTGACTTGAAGAGTTGGGAATATATTGGAAAGTCATTTTATAATTAAAATACTACAACATACAGTATCATAAGTAAATGGTAGTCAGTTGTAAATTCATTTGGGGTATGGAAGTCACATTTGCTCCTCATGAAACACCCTGATGCATCTTAGAGTCGGACCCACCCCTGGTTGAATTTATTGTAGTGATACCATACAGAACTTACTGTACTTTTATAAAATGTAAACAATTATAAGATGATTACCAAATTAAACAAACTGATAGTTTTGGGGTTGGAAAAAATAAGCAAATATAATACGAGTTATAATGATGCAAAAGATATTATTGGTGACAAACAGTACAACAGTAACAAGCTCAGAAAAGCTCACAATGCTAGAATGGGTATGCTGACAGTTCCCATACCAACTAAAGTTCAAATCTTTCTCAGCATGTTGTTATTAATTCTAAGCACTTCTGTAGAGGCAGTCGCTTGTATATTAGAATACTGTGAAAGATAGGCACTCGTGAATCATCTTTGTCATCTGGTCGTAAAGTTTTATCAACCTCATAATTTTAGTCTGTGGAAAGTCTGATCATCTCAAAAGTATAGATTGCCATTTTAAGTACTTTTCATTGAGCTTGATTCAAGTAATTAGAAGACATCTCTAATTAAAATGTGAGAGAGAAATGCAGTTGAAAAATTCAAATGCAACATTTCAATTAACTTCATAACCTTTGAACTTCTGACCTTATACGGCAAAGATTTAAATTAAACTTTAATTTAAAAAACAAATATTTTTATTATTTCTGAATAAAATATTTAACACTTCAGTTTTATTCAAGATAATTTATCATCCAATGATTTAAAAATATATTTTATTATTCATGTACTGCTAGACTAGTTTATTTTGGTTAATACTATTTACTGTATTCTGTCCTATTTGCTTCATAATCATGCGTGGGACTGTATTGTACATTCTATCAGCTAGTAAACATATCTTAATATAAATTCATGGTTCCCCAACCTTTTTAGACTGGGACCCATTTCAAGTTAACTCAAAATGTCATAGTCCTATAGGTATCTATTTCAGGGATAGTGCCAACTTAATAGCTGACATCAGTCGCATGCCAACGATATCCTACTACTATGAGTTTATTTTACGATAGTTGGGCTTAGCTGAGATTTATATGACTTTAAGCTATGTGGCATTACAAAATGCTTGCATTCTTTAATAAACACAGAAAACTTGATGGCTCATAAGACTTCTTTTAGTGATGTGAAAAAGTCATGTTAAAATGAATGGATGACTTCTTCAAATAAATCAAGACATCACTGTGGGATCAGAGTGTATTAAGGCTACTTTAATTATAAATCCTACATTGAATTTATCAATACAACTTGTGAAGCTCCTAAGAATTTAAAAGCTCTATTGTGTTCTATCCCAAAACCACCAATTCATATTTTATTTAATATCTATCTCAATAATTTGCATTGTAAAAAAAATGCATGTCTTTGTTATCGAGCTTCCAAATTGATGACTCATAAAGTTTGTGGATACTATCACTATTATTGAAGATATGTATTGAAGAAGATTGGCACACTAGGTGGTTTAACTGTATACTGCATTATTTTGACCATCTTGAACAATGCTGAATGCAATGCACCTTATAGGTGAATATTGAGAGCATTTGGTAATAAAACACAAATCAACTGTACAATATATAAATGTGTCATTATTTATTAATTCTTTATAAAAAAAATTGTTTTTGTACTAAAAGTTTGTTTTTATTTGTCTCACTAAATGACATGTAAACAATAAATTAAACAAAAAACAGATAGATACAGTAAATGATATATTATTATTAGGCAAATATAATGTATTCTGATTTAACCTTTCTATCTTGTGTCTGTAATAACATTTTACCTATTTCGGTACGGGACATGTATACACCTATATGTATTACAGTACGTCTATTTGTGTAGTCAACAGTACATACCTAGACATACTGTAATTTAGCTAGGGTTACTGTATTTCACATATGTAAGAAAATGTAACAAACTGGGATATCCCTCAAAATATACACACGTAAAAACCACAAGAATAACCTACAGGGTTAGAGCTAACTGTATGACCTACCAGATGTTATGTATTAAAGATTAGAATGAATCATATACTGTATATCCAGGCTGTGTACTTTACTAATTCATGTCTTAACAAATCCGCTTTCCTTGGCCATGCTTCGATGGAAATCCTTGTGTGCACAATACAGTATCTTAACCTTTAGAGGCCTTGCTATATCTTACAAGTTTTTCGGGGATATTAAGCTCTATCAAATTTTCTTTGACAAAAACTGTTGTGTATACTCATGATGTGCCTATATTTCTATTTTATTCAGCTTTAGGTGAGACTTTTGTTATTCCTTGTTTTGCATACTTATTTTTTTAAAGATTATCTGAGGAGGGCGGAGTTTACTCTATGGGTGTGTTGTGTGTGTTGTATTCAGTAATAAATATAATAATAATGTTATCTTATTGAGCGCATGTATCCATCTCTGGGAGCTGCTCCCAGCACCGTTTTCCACATGCAAATGGCAGCCTTATCTTTTCTGCATTTACTTATATGTAAATGTGTCATATTAGGCTTTATCATGGATTGTATTTTTTAGTATATCATACAATTAGGATTCTGGGTGTGTACGACATCATGATCAATTTCATTACTCTCTCTCATAATTGGACATTACCCTTATTAACGCATAAAACTGATATTTCATGAATATTATTCACAAAGGCACTTTACTGCAATTCATATTTCAAATCATCGCACTTTGACTGAATCATATTTTAACAAAGAAAAAGCAGAAACTGTAGGATGCAAATGCGCTTAACCAAAACAAAGAAAGCTGAGTGCTGGTACTGGATTGGCTTGTCATGCCGAGCTGAGCAACCAACACGCAATGAGCATTTTTATCTGCTGGCCAGAATAAATATTACAAATTTTAAATAAAAATACAACAATTATATCATGTTGTATTAATATGGGATAATTTTCTACAAAGGAAACAGCACAATATAGAATAAATTCTTTTTCATTAGCTGGACGATAAGGTTAAATATATCATTGCAATTATGAAATCACCGTACAATAATGTAATGTTACAAATATGTAACATTTGTAAAATACTGTATTCTATATTTAAAAAATATATATAGTTATATTATAGTACTATGAAGAAAGTAGAAGTAAAGAAAAATAACCTGCCACACACAAAAAAATTAGGTACTGTACTTGCAGTTTACACACTGAAATTGTTTTTTTTTAATCATCTGTTAAAAAATAACTTTCAAATCAAAATTTAATTATAATTCCACATCCTTCTTGTATGCATCTCACAATCTATTGCCAACGCTAAAAAAAAGACATCTCATTTATAAAGGACAAAACATTAATAACTATGTAATAAGTTCCCAGAAAGGAAGAATCTAATCAATGATTCAATGTTAATAATTAGTAGTTCTAAAAATACCAATCTATTTTACTTACATCTTTTTAAACCTTTTATGGAAATTCTTCTTCTGAATTGTTTGAAGCGACTGGTTGTCTCCTCAGCCCCCTCCAACTTGTCATTGCGTTCATTTGCAACTGAAAGTATAACGAAAGGTCCACGAATTAATCTCAGATACGATAGTATAATACATAATTGGAGTATGTATTATACGATAGTATAATACATACTCCAAGTATCAAAATGCACGCCATCCTGTCGGGATTCAATATTTCAACATTAATGATGTTATCATCAGGAAAGTATAGCAGTAAGAGTGAAATCAGTTATAAGGATGCGTGGGCTTATACTTGAGAAAGAATTTATTTTTCCTCATACGTATCTCTACCTGACATCTACCTACTGCATAGTCAGTCTCATAATCACATAAAAAATTATTTGAACTTGTGCCTAATTATCCATTAGGCCTACTCTAAATAAATCAGTCTAAATCGGTTATCCTTGTAGAGTATCTACCAATCCACATACCGCAAAACTTTGAATTGAAGCCCTGGGATTCCTTTTTTTTTTTTGTGAACTTTGGATGGGCTTCTTTTCGAGGCCACTTTTTTGAATCACTACTATAAAATAATAAGTACTGTAGGGCCACTGCTGTAACATCAATCTGTACCCTGGAGTGTGTTAACCAGCATTAAATCACATAAACCTACATATAAACCAAGTGTTTTTAATTTATTTTGTTTCTTTGAAATTCATGACAGTGTATGTACTGTACAATCTCGAAAAGAAGTTTATAGCATGGTTCACGTCGAACTTTTATCTAGATATACATCCACTTAACTAGTTAAAAGTTCGACGTGAACCACTCAATTATAGCTAGATAAAGGAATTAAGTCACTTAAGTTAAGTGACTTAAC